CAAATAATCTTGTCATTCCTTCATTTCGTGAACAATGACGATCGCATAGCGCGTGGCGAGCCTGGTCACGACCGCCTGTTCAAGATACGTCCTATCATTGATGAAATTGTGCCACGCTTCAAAGCCATGTATTCTCCAAGAAAGGAATTATCCCTAGATGAGATGACTGTGGCCTTCAAGGGGAGATCAACACTAAAACAATATAATCCCAGAAAACCAGACAAATATGGGTACAAAGCATTTGTTCTGAGTGAGGCAGGGACAGGGTACGTCTTGGAGTGGTCGATGTATACTGGCCAAGATGAAGCAGGTGATCCTGACAATTTGGGTGCAACTCACCTGACAGTGAGGAATTTGGTGACCCCTCAGTTCACAGGGAAAGGACATGAAGTCTATATGGATAGCTACTATACGAGTCCTGCTCTGGCCAATGAACTGGCTGACAATTACACCGGTTTGTGTGGGACTGTAAACTGCAATCGCAGGTGGATGCCTGATGAACTCAAAACTAATGTGTTGGCGCTTCGTAAGGGAGATGATCCTGTGTTCATGCGTTCAAATCACCTGTTAGCCTGTGCTTGGCACGATACCAAACGTTTGACAATGCTCTCATCCATCCATGACAACTCTTGTGTCCCAAAGCGGATTCGGGTCAAGGGCACACCAGATGGATATCGTGACATCAACAAGCCTTTCTGTGTTGACAGATATAATAGTTACATGGGAGGAGTGGACACTGCAGATCAAAGGTTGAAAACTTATCTGTTCCCTCATAGAAGTAAGAAATGGTACAACCGGATCTTCAATGCGCTTGTGAGCATCTGTACGGTGAATGCCCACATTATATACTGCAAAGTCCATCCTGGTCCCCACAAGGTCTTGAAGGTTTTTCTTCAAGATATATGCACTGCATTACTAGAAGGACATAGAAAGAAGGAGTTCAGGGTGGGAAGACCCGCAGGGGAGATGCTTCAAAGGCTAGTGGAACGCCATTGGCTTGACGAAGTTCAAGATCGTCCTGATTGTGTAGTGTGCGCTGATCGCTCCCGTCCAGGTGGTCGCCGCCAGACCAAATACAGATGTCGCCAATGTGGAGCAGGACTTTGTGCTTATCCTTGTAATGAGAGATACCATACTCTACAGCACTACAAAAAGTGCCATCTGGATGGGTAAAAAGTCTCAGAAACAAAGACAAAGTCCTATCTCACGGTTGACATTTATATTGATAACGCACCGTGAAACTAGATCATTTGTGTTGGGCATTTACACTAAGTAAGGACAAAAGACTAGGATAGCTTTGATTGTGCAAACGTTGGAATTGAACATAGATAGCATTTATCAAGACAATATAGAAAAAGAACTGAGCAAATAGACTGAAAAGGGAAGATATGGGAAGATATATTGAAAATTTCAAGAAATCAAAGATGGCCGTCATGTGATGACGTCATCATATGCAAATTAGGTAATAAATTTTATTCTCATCATAAACTACTGATGATACTGAACATTTATTTCCATTACAGTAACAGTCTAGCTCTTACCATTTTCAAACAGTAGCCTTTTGAAATCATGGTAAAAAAATAATAGATTTAAAAAAAAAGAATGCGGCAGGGAAAGGGTTAAACTTGATCTGACAATTTGATTCTTTGATCACGCATGGGTAACTGATTTTTCCCATGACTATGCATTACCCCACATCAGCTCATACTTCTGTCCGAATTATATTTGACACGAGTCTGGCTCGAAGTCCGGTTTTTATAGAAGATTGATGGACGTCACAAAAGGATTTCAAAAAAATCTTTGAACCCAAACGGTGATGTGCCCGCGGTTCACTAGTCCAAATACCTACGGTTACGGGAACTTGGTTATATGGTGCGATGCATAGTTAGGCCTATAACACACTCGCCTGCAAAATGGCGGCTCCGGGGTTTGCATCTTCGCAGCCGGGATGGACGAAAACATTCCTCGTGGGTTTATTTCTTTTCTTAAACGTAAACACCCTAGAATGTTTGCGCGGAGTTAGGTTTACGCCGGAGGTGTAAGCAGACGAAATTCATGCGGGTTTTATTATTTATCGTTGTCTCTATGTGCGCAACCCTCAAATCCTTGTTTTATGTTTAAAATCTCTTCCGTCTTTTCCACGTCCGGCTCACTGGAGCCTTCCATAATGCTTGAGCGCTCAGCATGATACATCTGCGGCTCTTCTGAGAAGAGCCTTTTCTCGTTTTGCCTTTCGTTTCTCGTCTGCCTTTCGTTATATCTTGAGTCGGAATCTAGCAGGAAAAACGCAATCACGATATTCGATGCACCTTTCTGTCTCTCTGGGTCTCTATGTGCTTGAAAAAACCCCTGCGGTATCTGCTTTCATCACAAATCACGGCGACAACTATTTAGGTAGTGCATCCAATCTACGATGCCGAGGTCATATGAGCTTTTGGGGTACGTGGCATGTATGGAAATTGCTCTCATTTCTTGCTCTGCTCTGCTTCCTTTTCCCTATCTCGTGAAAAACATAGCTTCGCCATGGAAGTCCAGAAGGTTATTCATTCTGGGCGGTAGATAGGCATTCATTTGAGTTACTTCATTTAGTTTCGTGATATCTACGCAAACTAGGCGGATGCCGTTATTGTTGATGCCGTTGGCTATTGCTGGGTTGTATCGCCCTATTGATTAGCATATACTATATTTTTATCCATCACGTTCTGCTAGGCTAGTGGAAAACTTAGTGGGGTTTGTTTGATTGGCCATTGCCTTCCAGTGTTGGATTGATGTTGAAAATGATTAGTATGTCCGGATGGTTTGCCGGGGATGGGGAATCGTGAGCTTTAACGCGCGTCAATGTCCCGGCAATCTTATAGAGCTTACGAGAAATCCGGAAATACGTATTCTGAAGTAGCACGCCGAGGTAATCTTGCAGTTTGGATTTAGTCGGACGGTTGAAATTTATTACCAATGGCTGAGTTAACGCGAGTAATGGGGATCATTCAGCCAATCTCATCTCCTTCACGTATTGTGCGGGCCTCGTTTCATGAAGTAAAACCTGAATAACTTGGCATCTTAGTATGCTGTTCCTCCTTAGGTTCTACTATAAGTTATCAGCTTTTGATCTAATATTGCACATGGAACTTGGTCAATATGGTTCCAGACAGGCGATTTGGAAAGAAATATAATAGTGCTCTACCAAGGTTGACACATCTTTTTCCCAACGCCTTGTAGTTTCTTCCTAGAATGTAGTATGACGCTTATAGAACACCACTATTTTGGAGCACTTTTTACGCACATCGTGTAACTCTATTCATGCAGGCATGCGTGCGTGCGTGCGTGCGTAGTCATCACTAACAGTAGCTGCGTGAAGGCGCTTTGCTCAAGACAGGTAAGATTGGATGTCTGGAAGCCGGACGGTGTGTGAGTCGCATGTTGCTGAGAAACTCCAACCCTGAATGCGAGTCTCGCAGATATCCACTGCCGCAATGCAAAATAGTAGACCCAAGACAGCGTATGAGTAGGAGATGTCTGCAGCTATCACTGTGTTATAAGCATGTATGGTGACAGCAATTCTACAAAAAACCAACGACAGGCATATTGGCTATGGTATAATTAAACAACGCATGTCATCAGCAAAAATAATATATTTTGCTAGAAACTATTGTAAATTCATGCTATTTCCGTAAGCACATACATATTACTAATCACCAAATAATAATTTCTA